TTAAAAATGCAACTGTTACAATACAACGAAAATGAAAATTGGGGTTTACCCTTTCCATGTACTAGGTAATGCGAATTCGTTCGGGTTCGATAAACGGTAAGAGAGGGAAAAGATGGAACTGTAAAGTGATTTTCAATGGTCGAGACAAGGAGGATACTTGGTTCAGTTGTTAGCTCTTTTCGCTCTGTTGTTGACTAAAACTACAACACCATCTGTTCGAACACGCTTGTGTATTCAATAAGATCATTCTGGACCTTGAACCGGAATCAAATGGCATGACAACATAAAGTTTCTGTGCGTAATTAGCAGTAACCCAGGATTGGACTTGATCGATTTCTCAACTCATGAAATTCTGTCTATTAATGCATAGCGTAGTCTTCGTTACCTCAGACCGACATTTTTCCATGATACCGCTGACTAAATTAAGTTAGGCACACTATATGTGCTCTTTACAGCTCGCGTACAATAGCGGTCCATTTTACAGTTGCGTGCTCGGTTGCCAAATCTTTGAACAGAAGTGAGGCAAAGGGTGACCTTGTTATGATACAAACCTTGCTGCTTTTCAAATGTAAATAACTTTGTTATTATGCTGACGAGATACTGATCTCAATCACAACAAGGCCACCTTCAGCCTCACTCCAAATCAAAGGCTTGGCCACCAAGTACACAACTGTAAACTGGCCTATTCAATTCTGGAGTTTGGTCTTGTAAGACCTTCTTCTCTACTAAACTTCTAAAAATTATTTTTATATGGCTGTGTCTCATAAGGACTGGGAACTACCGAATTTACGAATTTGATTGGCTGAAATCAATATTGAAAGCGGTCTAGATTTTCCATCTACCGGCATCTAGAACGGTCTTGAAAAAAAAAAAGGTACAAAGAATATAAAAAATTGGCATAAAAGACACAGCCATATAATAAACATCTTATTAACCGAGCTAGGACGGTCTCTATGGGAGAATCTTCACCGAGGTCGCCAGTACAGACCGAACGCAGTGAGGTCTGTACCAGCGAACGAGGTCAAGATTCTCCCATATAGACCTCCCGCTCGGTTAATAAGAACTAAGTAATGATCGCAAAAGATGAGGTCGATGAGCGGAGAGGGGGGTAGCTATCAATTTGGGATAACCCTCGCCAAGTCCGGACCTCAATTTATGGTAGTATCAATTCAGCTATATACAATGATCTAAGTTAACAATTGGTTCCATATGGGAGCATTTAACAACGATCAACAGGAACTGCCCCCATCAACGCATGCGCTCCTTACATTAGGATGGCACATACAAGGTAAGATAAAATTTCCCCTTGATAAAGAAATAAAAAAGACGACGGTTTTAAATTTTATCCTAAGAAACCTTAGTTGGACTTGCTTACATGTATATCTTATTGATCACTGTATTTTTGTGGTTGGTCATAATATCGTCTGTTGTTTTGATCTACTCCATATTTTACTTCCGTAATGGCCTTGTCACAGTTACTATTTCCTAAGTTACTTTTGTTCCATCTAAGGAAATTTCATTCTGGAAGCTTTTCAATCCTTTCTTTTCAGACAAACATCTTACTTTCGGCGAGTTGAAGTTTTTCGAAAACAAAAATATGCCTAGAAGATGGACTGGATTAGCATTGTGAATTATTATTAAAAAAAAGCTACAATTATAATCGAAAATGAAAGTTGGGGGGTTCCCCGTTGCAAACAATAATGAAAATATTTAAATAGTGCGAATCAGAGAGAAAGCAAAGATGTTATCGAAATTTTGCGCAGGAAAAAACCGGGCTACAGTTGTTCAAAGGGCAGATAAACGCCATCCAACGGTTAAATCGTAATCCAGCGGTTAAATGTTAAGAATATGAACTGCGCTATCCACCGGATATAAATTTATCTAGTGGATAGCGTTATCCATCCTTCGAACAACCGGAGCTAGATTTTCATCTCAGTAAATTGAGAATTTGCGAGTTTGTTTCCTTACTTGAACTCTCACAGTGATGGAATGAATACCAGATGAAAAGTCCTCAGGATCCCAGCGGCAAGCGTACAATGCTCCTTTAACGTGAGTAACTTGTAAGCTGAGGGGTTTCCCATCAATTTCAACAGTGGCAGATACGATAGGTACAGGAGAGAAAGCCAAAAACCTGTCAAATAAAACATCGTATATCTCATCATGGGTGAGTGAAGTTTTTGAAGAGAAGTTCTGACTAGAACCATGTTGAACTAAAATTAAGGCCATTGCTACAGTACGTTAACTACTTGTTCGAACTTTTTTCGCTGATTTTATGAATCTTCCGATTCTACGATTCTCCTATTCTTCAACTGTAGTTTCTGGTTGATAATCTTACCGTTAGATTCAACCACACTGTTATCATTCTCCGCTTCAAAGATTCCTCTCACAACTTTTCGGAAACAACCCCTATTATGTCACTTATTTGCGGGAGAATCGTAACATCGTTAAAATCGGGGGGCACCGGTTCAAATCCAGTAGATGTCTGAATTTTTCCACGCAGTTTTATTCTGCAATTGCTTATCCACCTGCGAGGATCGTTTCTTTGCAAGTTAATCTCCATCCGCAGGTCAAATGAAATTTAGTTTATTTAAAATTTCGAAATAAATAAAAATTAATGCTTGTGTAAAAATAATACCTTATGTGAGTAGACTTTCTTATTCTTCCAAGAGGTTCATGGGATGGCATAATGTAATGCGCATCTTTTGGATTGGTTATGAGTACAACAGGCCACTTGTTCAGACGAACATCAACAAAGGAGAAAATGTCATGATCTATAGCCATTACCCTGTAACTGAAATTGAAGAGAGTGAAGAAAGGCTGTACTCCCTTGTACATCAGCATACATATTCTCCATACTATTCTCTGTACAATTTCCCAAGCTGCTGACAAGGAGTATTTGTTTAACAAAAAAGAGCAGCTTTTGTTAGTGATAATTTCTCTATTCTTGTGACCTTAATGTGTGATTCAGGAGTGATATTAAAGGGAGAAATTAGATACTAGTCACTCTGAGGGGTAAATAGGTAGGTTAAGGTAGCGACTAACCTAGCGGTTTTGTTCAACGATTTTTCCAGCCTGAGTAATAGTAACATGTTAAAACAGACATTTGTCTGAAAGCTTAGTTTTTCGTTTTTTTGCTTCTTTTGTTTTGTTTTGGTTTTTTTTTTAAGCCTGTAACCCTTTAAATTCCACAATCTGATTGGTATTTCTTCCCTAGAGCCGCTACACATGTGCTTGTAAATTGGCAACGAGAATTTGATTTTTGATCAAGAAACAACTTCTACCTGATAACCAAATAGTCATCATCTCACCCCACCCTTTTCCTTCCTCAGTTTTTCTATGCCAGTCTAACTTACTTTCTGGTGTCAAGCCAGTCCCCGAGTTCCAGCTCAATGTGACCATCTGTGTGAAAAGCATGCATCTTGGGAAAAGTTTCCAGCAGAGTGTGAAGATGACCACACAAGTAAACTCCCCCAGTCCTGAAATGGATTCACACATGCCCAGAGGTACAGCATCACGAATAACATTCCACAACGAAAAAAATCTGTTTTCTGTGACAGCTTTTTTCATCTCAGGGAGTTTCATTTCTAATCAGTAGCTATTTCCTGAAGAAGCTGGTGATGGTGTACAGTAAGTGGCTTTGTGCAGGAAAGGGACCATTTCTCCCCCACAAAAAAATTTGAAACTCTAGAAGCTTGAAAATTTAACTTCCAGCAATCTGGGCATCGAGAAGTGTGCTATTTGTAATAATTTTTATCAACACATCAGTTTGTAATTTGCCTGTCATTTCTGAACAGTCACCAAAATGGGGGTTTCCTGAGAAAAGAAGTGGACAGGAAAGATACCATAATTTATTTTGCAGCTGGAAGTACTCACAGATAGAAGCGTTAAATATTACATAATTTGTGGAGAAGCATCTTTGTACAAAACCACCTGAAAGATGTACATATTGTCTAATTAGCCACTCACCTTAAAATCCTTCGAACAGAAGGAGTTGTTGTGACTGAAAAAGGATGGTGTCCAAACCAAACTGTCATATTAAACGATTTGCTAGCAGCAGCTAACCTCTCCATTGCAGTAATGCGTTCCTGTAAGAAAAAAATCATACGATGCACAGTATGATTAGCCTACAAGCAAGCCTCATTATGAAGGTTGCAGGACATACATTTCTTTACCATCAGGAAAATTTGAGACAAGTCAGGGACAGGTTTGCAAAGAGTGTTGCACTATTTATCAGCTCTAGAACCCAAGTCTTGCAGACCTATCATTGGTTTGTGTCACTCAAGGCCTTATCTTTTCTAAAGGACCAAGAAGCTCTAACAATGAGGGCCTCCTAGCAGGCTAATACACGATATATCACCCATCTATTCAGTACTTTGTGCCTGCGTCATATCTCCATGAACACTCGCTAAAACATGAACAAGCTGTTAATAACTGCAGTATTGCCTTATTAATGAAAGCTAAATGTTTTTCATTCGCTCACTCAAGCAGATTGAAAATCATTGGCAAGAGGCTGCACTTGTATAGAGTAGACTTTTTTTCTTCAATTTGCAAGAACACATCATCCTTCTTCTACTTTTCATAATGAGGCTATAGAACCGATTTAATTTACACTACCTGGTTAATAGCTCTACTACACATCTGGGCCCAGTTCTTCAAATGCAGGTTACTGTTAACCCAGGGTTAAATTTTAATCCAGATTTTTTCATTCCTTAGTTCAAAGGCCTTTTGGGATAATTTTCACTGTCCCTTTTAGAGTATCCAATCATCAAATTGTAGGCAAAAAGAATTTTACTTAATCTTCTTTAAAGCTCAAAGATCTGATACCAGATTTCACCTTTACCCTGGGTTACCTTAATCCAGCTTTGAACAACCTGGCCCTGTACTTTCGAATGATCATCAGTTGTACATTGTGTCAATTTCTCTCATACCTGCTCCACATGACCAAAGAAATTAAAAGGTCTCCTTGGACCCGGATTTGGGTTCATATCAATACCATTAAATGCATAAGAACCGAACTTGGTACTATATACAAACTGGTATGGCATCATGGTACCTCTTTCTCTATCTGGGCCACTGGATGAATAATCTCTGAAAGAATTCCAATGGGACAAAATTAACCCTTTACGGTACCCCCAAGGAGCAACTACATGAAGCTTCTAACTTCTCTGTACAACATCACCCCTGAATCTCTGATTAAAGCCTGATTGTTCTTGAAAATTTCCTTGTGAATACCATGGAAAATGTATAGACAACAGTACGGGGAACATAAATTATATTAATGTTATGATGTAAAAGCTACAAGGTAGTGAATGGAATTAAAACTCTTAAAAAACCTTTGAATGCACTGTTAACAGAAGTTATTTCTAATGGGATTGAAAGACAACTTGAAAGGAAAATCCAGCAGTCTATCTGCAGCCACCTTCAGTTGACTTTTTTCCATGCAACCTTCAACTAATGACGATATTCAACTCAAATGATACACGGTAAACACATGTTTAAATTATAGGGTGAATTCAGGTAGCTCAAAACTTCTGCCCTTTCACCTCCCTGTGAAAGTCCACTTCGAAATCTGCAAGTAATGATTTTCTTTCTCACTTCATCATTGATCAATGATGCATCCTAAAATTTGACGATTGTGCTAAAAAAGCACAAAATAATGCAGCAATTGGATATCACAGCAAATACAAACACATTAGTACACAAACCCATTGATTTAGTCACAAAACATACTTAGCAATTCATTTCCATTAATTTCACATGCAGTCCCAGTCTATTCAAAATTCATAAAGGCTGATAGTTTCGAAAGAAACTGTTGGGGGCTGCGTCGGTGGAAGTAACGAAATAATTTGGATATATCAACAAAGTTGAAATGGTAAATTGGCCACCGTAATGATTATAAAAGCTGACGTTTCGAGCGTTAGCCCTTCGTCGGAGCAACAAAGGGCTAACGCTCAAAACGTCAGCTTTTGTAATCATTACAGCGGCCAATTTACCATTTCAACTTTGTTAATATATCCAAATTATTCAAAATTTAGCCCAATCCTGCAATATCACTTGGGGTATACCACCCAATACTCCCCAGTTTTAGTGGGGTATAAAAAGGCATATATCTCTTTTCAACTATTCAAGCATGCTTACTTGAAGAAGTTCTCTTTGCTTGTATATGAGGGAACNATTGGTCCTATAATACATTTGTAACGCCCAGAGATATTTCGACCGACACAATTTTCAAAGAATTTAACACGATCGTCTCCTAGCGATAAATTTTATCATGGAACAAGCAAATGACAACAGATGCGATGGCTATTCCTCGAAATGAAAACCTGGACGCCGTCTCACAGCGTCCCACAACGATGGTTCTTTTAAGGCAATTGTAAACTTTCTTGAATGTGAGTTGATGTGCGAACCATACCATTATAGTTCGCAAGCTAAGACCATTAGGAATTCAAGGTATTACCATTAGGTGGATACTACATAATCTATCTGACAATTTCTACATAGTTAAGCTCGTGGCACGGGGCTTTTTGTCGCATATCATGAGACCCTTCCCCCTTTAGGCTTCCCTCAGGTTACCGAATTAAGGCTTTGGCGGATGTTCAACGATATGGCTTCTTGTCATGCTTTCTCCTGGAAATATATAAAAAATCCAAAGGTATCAGAGGTTTCCCTTAAAGATATAATCTGGATATATCAACAAAGTTGAAATGGTAAATTGGCCACCGCAATGATTACAAAAGCTGACGTTTCGAGCGTTAGCCCTTCGTCGGAGCAACACTGATAAAATATCGGGACCTAAACGATCCATTAAGATCCCGATCACTTCACGTGCACCTCCGCTAATGAAATCTATTGCATAACTTGCACTTATTGCAAAGCACACACAACCCACAATTCCTCTATTCGCTCCAACAAAGGGCTAACGCTCAAAACGTCAGCTTTTGTAATCATTACAGCGGCCAATTTACCATTTCAACTTTGTTAATATATCCAAATTATTCAAAATTTAGCCCAATCCTGCAATATCACTTGGGGTATACCACCCAATACTCCCCAGTTTTAGTGGGGTATAAAAAGGCATATATCTCTTTTCAACTATTCAAGCATGCTTACTTGAAGAAGTTCTCTTTGCTTGTATATGAGGGAACACTGAATGTATCTGTAAAAGCGAAAAAAAAACAATCGGCTCAAATACAAAAGCTTCACCCACACAATTTTGATCCATGTACACCAGTAGACTTAGGAATGGATGACTTTGCACCCCTCCCCTCCCCCCCTCTGGCTACCTACAACTACTACACCACCGTCTCCACAGCCCTTAGGCTCTCTCATTTCAAAATTTGTTTCTTACAGTGTATGGGCCTAACATTACAAAACTGAAACTAAGGAGAAAATTTAAAAGTAATGGTTCACAGATGTTTAGTTTAAACTTGATATTCGTGTACCCCTTCATCACTCCCAGTAACGACCAAGACATAATTTCTCTTCACAATTTCCATACAATATCAAGTAGACATGTGATGAGAAGAGCGAAAAATATCAAGTGAACTAAGGAATTATTCATTGATCCAACATTAATTTCTGAAAATTGATAACTAAGAAAATTCATTACTTGACTAAGGAATTCTGCATCTAATTGCATGCGAAAACTGAAATTGTACAAATCACCAAATAATGAGACAGTGCAATATCAGATTTCAAGTGAAATTTGATGCAGAATTCACAAGTCAAGTAATGGATTTTCCTTGAAAAGTATAATTGGATAAAAATTGAAAAAGAAGAACAGAGCAGTAATATTACTTTTATCCTGAGTGCAAAACAAGAGATGGCTCAGAGAAACAATCTCACTTAGCCTTGTTTCCAAATCACAACTCCTTGCAAATTACTTCTCTTTAGTAACCAATCAGAATGCAAGATTTTATTCAATAATGCAATTCTAGGAGAAATATAGGACTGTAGACAGTAAGGAGATATAATGAAATATCTTGGGAGTGAAATAATTAACAACTGTTAAGTCCTAAGAAAACTCATTTCATAAATTAAAGCTTCTTACCATGGTTTCCTCTCAAGTCTAACCATTTAGTCCTGTCTTCAACTTTTGTTTCCTTTAGCACATTATAGTACTCTTCCCACTCTTCTTTATACTGTTTCGAGCCAAGTTTGTGGACATCTTTTGCATCTGTCAAGTCACCTTGTAAAGTTCACAAAATGAAGAAGATATGTCTTTGGAACTAAATTTTGCAATGTCACTCAATTTCTTACATGAGATTGAATAAGTTCTTGTGATTGAAATTAATTTAGTAACCATAGGGAATTTCAAACAATAACAAAAATGACAACAATTTCATTGTCTATTCCTTTAAGCATGAATGTTTGGGTTAGAAAGCTGATAACATAAAAAAATGCAGCTCACCAGCTGTCTATTATACACATCTAGATGTGTATAAGACACAAACCCATGGGTTTGGCATTTGATTTGTTATTTTTAAAAGCTGATAACATAAAAAATAGGATACAATCAGGCACAAAATTATGCACTGATATTTGTCCTGCAAGGACATCATCATTCTGTTCCATTAAAACCAAACAGTTTTGCAAGAGCAAAGGTTAAGGAAAACTTTCCCTTTTTCTGCAACAAATGCAAAACTTGAGTTAAATTGTAAACAAAGACCATGCAATCATAATAGACATAAGGTTTGAAAATTTGCAAATATCACTTGGGGTATACCACCGGATATACACTCCCCAGTTTTAGTGGGGTATATTTTGCCACATGATACCAATCACACGCAAGCAAAATGTTTAATGGATTATAAGTGGTTATACCTACCCTAATCTTCAACATGAACAGGACATCAGAGCCAGCTACAATGTAAAACCTCAGAATCAAACGTACCTGTGGCCAGGACAGTAACCGGCTTGATCACATTTATATTTTCATAGCAAAATTTCTTCAAATCCTTTATTCTTTGATTATCCCGGTATTTGCTTATGTGAATGTCAGAGATCTGTTATGAAAGAGACATAATTATACAAGGAATGTAAATTTAGTGCAGTCATATTTTATATCAAGGTAAGTGTACCACCTACTGTACAGGAAAAATGACAACAATAAAACCAACAGAAAAAATACTTTTAGGATGGAAATAGCACTAAATAAGGGCAATTTGTTTGGTTAATATTAAGTACGATTTACAGTTTTAAAGAAGTTAAATGATAAGTACAGCCAGCCGTCATATTGAACTGGACATACTTAACCATTTACCAATCATTCGACAATTCGACAAAATAAAATGAATCTACATGTAAATGCAGTTTCTAGATAACACTGGTTTAAATCGAGAGGATAAAAAAGAAAAGCTAAAAAGCAACAGTTTGAAATCAGCCTACAGAAACCCCAATCACGATCCATATATGGAAAGATTTCCGTACAACCCCATACCTATAAAAAACAAAGCCGTAGTCCCAGAGGAAATCTGTTGTTTTTTAGAACATAGCTAGCAGAGTCGCGCAATCTAATTCATTATACGTAAGCGTGCTCAAAATCCCGATAGTGCACGCTGATAGCGTCAGCAAATCCGACTTCGCCAGAAATTTTTTTTTCGGGCGAGCGGCCATTGCTAGTGCGGGGAAAAATAATACATTTCGCGACAATAATGGATACAAACAGAAACTCGGCCTGCTAGTCCGAAAACGAAGACAATGTTTCGACCTTTTCCCATGGTTTCGACCTTTTCCTCATTCTTAAATGAGGCAGAAAAAGAGAAAAACAAAGGAAAAGGAGACTCGGCATCAGCGCCGTCACGATTCGCCTCAACTGATATTGTTGTCCGTTTTTCGCGTCGCATTTGATGCACAATTCCACCGGCTATGTTCTAAAACAATTGGTTCATGCTTTCAGCTGTGCACTATCGAGTTATGGAGCACGTGGGAAGTTTGGAGAGCACTCAAGAAGCTAGAGTTGCCCTCGGCTATCGCCTCGGGCAACTCTTACGCTTCTTTCGTGCTCTCAAAACTTCCCGCGTGCTCCATAACTCGATAGTGCACGCTAAAGCATGAACCAATTGTTAAATTGAATGCATAATCAAGTATGGGGTTATACGGAATCCTTGCCATGCATTTTTTTCTTCTAAAAGCCGGTCCGGAAACAGTTCTCATCATGTGATACAAACACAAATTACGTTCAGCTTACTGTATACCGACCTGAACGAACCAGAAAATATTCTCCATCTTGTCGCTCGGAAATGGAGCTGAATTTGTATTTCTGTGTTGCTTGAGCGGTTGGCCGTGCCCTGTATAATAGTCCAGTAGTACAGCAACAAACCATGACGAACACAAAATAACTGTGAGGATGATCAGCGATAGACAGCCTTTACTACAAACAACCATGTTTTTAAACTGAAGCCTCGTTCAAAGGTACAACTCATTTCCGGTTTTTCAGGTTGTGCACATGACCGGAAGTCAAAATATTCGATTACGGAATAATTTTACGTAATAACAGATATGCGTTACAGGAGGGTTGGGGGCGGAAAGGTCCTTGGGAAGAGAAATGGTGTTGTAAAGAAAGGCTTAGAGAAAGCAGATTCACGCTTTGAATGCATAACTTCGAGCCCTCAAAAAAAAAAACAAGAAAAATTGAGTTAGTTGCAGATCACGAACACTTTTAGGTATATCAATTGCTACCCCAATTACCGTGAGATTCTATATTCTAAATTCTCCTTCATGGCCGTTCTCTCAAGCAAATCTCCGTCGCACGGCCCAAACAAACAGCGAGCAACTGAGCAATTAGTATTTGTCCGTGTTATAACAAAAGAAAGGACTCCAAAGCACACTTCATTCTGATTGGGCAGAAAAACACACAAATTTTCTGGCACCAATCAGATGGCAGAACGACTGCGACCGTTTGGAACTATTCTTGTAAAACAATGTCCCCAGGGGTTATTCATGCCCTAACTTGAAATCGTGCCCACAGATCCTGGGTCTCCGAGGATGGATAGGGTAACACGAGACATGATTATTGCACTGTCATCGACAAATTATCTTTCCTTGCTGCATTTTTAAATTCGATTCTTGTCGTCCACAGAGAACATGAGATGATTCTCTCACGCCGCCGGTCAAATATATGTCGTTTATTTCATGCATCAGTATAAAACGTTCTCTCCTTTTTTACTTTGCTCAGCTTTAATTCTTTTTCCTTTTGATTCCTTGTTTGTTTGTTTGTTTTTCTATCTGTTTTGTTGTAATATTCATGACTTAGTAATCTATTAGTATCAGTGTAAGGCCCATCACAACCCTTTTCTTTTCGTTTATTTCTTACCCCTCGACGAAAGATCCCTAAAAGTGAACTTTGGTCGGTGACACAGCACATCTTCAAGTAATGAATGTGATGACAGATGTCTCAGCAGGTTAGCGTCGCGGTCAGTATCGTTTCGTGAAGGAGGGATCAGTTTACAATTTAGAATTTTTTTACCATCACCCGCCCCTGCACCTCATTTATTTTGCTCGAAACCTCCCTTATCTTTCTCTGAATCAGTTGTGCACATTACCCTAGTTCAAGGAAATATACGGCATGTTCGATTTTGAGATATGATCCTTGCGGTAACGATCACAACCACAAACGAGTTGGTCACCGACATGGCCCTAAGAACTACACAGGAGTTTCGTATCACGCATAAACAGAGCCTGCTTAACAAACCGGCCTCCCCCCCTCGTTTGCCGCTGCTCTACTGCGAAACGAAAACTTTGCAACTGTTCTGCAAGCTGGTCCTCGAATCAACCAAGTGCGAGATAGCCTGCAGAGCCAGCGAAATTTTTTTTGCGTTTGTCACGCGCGAAGACTGGGGTATTTCGCGCACGCCTGGCGCTTGCCTCTATTCGATTCTGCAGGCTAAGCGCGAGGAGGTGCAAACATCTTTACAGTCTGCCCCTTCAATGCACGTTTTTATCGTGGACCTGCCTCCTCAAGCTTCGAGGTACAAGTAGCCGACCGCGAACAAACAGACTAATAGCAGCAGTCTTAATGAATGCTTTAGTCCGAATGAAAGGATTTAAGGATTATCAACCTAATCTCCTAAACGCACTTGTTGATTTGCTTTTTTACTACAAATGCATCCATCTATCATTCTAAAATTTCCCCGAATAACGATTGCCAATGTTGTGCTTTACTCAGCTTAATCTCCACTCCCATATGTTTGCCCGAGCTGCGAATTTGTTTCGGTGGCCGTTTGGTTTTTTTTTTTTTTTTTTTTTTTTTTTTTTTTTTTTTTTTTTTTTCCTGTCACCTGATATTAGTTTCTATTCTTGAGCACGTGTTTTGGCTCGATACAAAATCCCCTGACTTATGCGTGATACTCACAGTGCAAAGCAGTACAAGGCAACAACAGGACCGTGGATTTCGTGCGCATCGTTTACTCTTCATCAGAATCGAGACCAAAATGCTAGCCGTTCTTGCTTCGTTGCTCCTTGTGGCTCTTGTCAATGCCCAGAGACCTGTACCATGTGGTTTGTTTTTAACTTTTATTTAATTTTTTGTTTCTTCCATATTGTTTGTGCATCAATCAGTGCTGAACTGGTCGTGTTTTTCTCATATACGAGTAGTTTACACGCATCTATTGATTCAAAGCGCTCACTTGATTTCCAAAGCGTTGGTTTCAACCCAAATAGGAATGCCGCAGTTGGTATCGTGAGACCTTCGATCGAAACTAATCCTCCCCTTAGCCTCCATAAATTATGAGTAGAAGTAATTGGTTCTTAACGCAAAAGGAACACCAGAGCTGCAACGCGAATCTTTTCCTCGCAGTTTTAGCGGCATTTACAACTACAGGTTAGTGGGTTGTAAAGAAAGACTATGAAAGAATTAGAGCTTGACAAGAGGGACACAATTTAACCATATATTACGTAACACGATTGACAATGAAGCATGCTCCTGCAAGCTTTGCAGAATGTTTTTGAAGCGTAAGGCAGATCGAAAAGCCATTTGCTGTTTATCAGAACTACAGTCCATCAGAATATTTCATGGAACTCTAGAACGCACGATTGGTTTTCGTGAGATTTGCCCCTGCGCGTAATTAGATTGTCTCTTCGATTCGGAAAACTGTTCTGGATAATTCATGAAAGAGATACGACTGTGGTGCAATATTTCATCACTGTTGGATGCCCCGCAGGGCACTTTTCAAAACAGGCTACTTAAATTTCTTTCGGCGAGTTCCCATAAATAATCACGCCAGCCTCGTTCCCAGAACGAGGTTGTAAGAAGAGCCTTTCCATTTCTATGTTGACTGCTTTCCCGATCTCCGACGTGGCGTCATTCAACGTAACCATTTTACAAAAACAACTTAGCTAACTTTCATGCTAATCTTTTTTACATCGCCGCTTTGGACACATATTTCAAACTCATTGAATTTGTGGATCTATTTTGCGCATAATAACACATTCACAGAAAAGGGCAGAACCAATTTGCCCACCTACATGTACTCACTCACACATTAACTACCACTACCCCACTCGCCATTGCTTGTCTTTTATCACGTCGTGCAATCACTTGACCCAGGGGTTACCTCATGTTTTTTAACGCTTATTCCATCGTTTCAAAGAGCAACAGCTCGGTTAAAAAACATTTCCATCACACTGACGACAACTTCTCTCCTTTGAGGAGGTCAGTATTTTCAGACGTCGTAAGTTGTCTATTTTTCATTATTATGAAGAAGACAGGCTCTACATACATAAATATAAATGATAAGACTTAATGAGTTAAGGATGTCAGTTTTACAATAAACCTTGCGCATAGGGAAAAGTTTGTCGGCCGATTTTACTACATATTTCGTAGTTGTTCTAACAAAAACTTACGCTTCCCTTTTATCAACGTGACTCGAAACAAATTCTGATAAAAAGGCGGCCAAAAAGCGATGATCTCTCTTCAAAATGTTTGCTTTGTTTTTTTTTTTGGCGTCGAAACTGCCTTTCGCCGTACATTTCTTACTGGTCCTTACTAGCGGGCTGCGATGTTTGCCCTGTGGCGATCCCAAAAATCTTTGCCCAAACACAAGGATCCGATTACTGGCAACTCATTCATTATTTGCTCGTTTGACTGTTTACAGAGACCCCTCCAGAGTGGAATGGACGTCAAATGACGGTGAGTCGCAGTTCAGATTTGGGTAAACAGTCTCCTCGCTATATTCTTTACATCATAAATGCTTTCCACTAAGACGATGAAAATTAACTTACATCACGAAGACCGGTTCGCTTTTTTCTCCGGCAAAATTTAAATGGAAGGGTACAAAACTGACAGGGGAGACAGGGGAGACTGGGGAGACTTCTTCTTCTTTATTTTTTTTTTTTTTTTTTTTTTTTTTTTTTTTTTTTCCCAATGAGAATCTGGGTTCTACTTAAACTTTGCGACAATAAAGTAAGCCGCATATTTCATCTCGTGGTTTTGTGCTGATGGATGAAATAGATGGTAAATTTATTTTCTGGTAATTGCAGTACAATTTAAGAAGAAATTACTGTTTTTCATTTTCTCTCCTCGATTAGATAATTATCCAAACAACAGATAATTTGAAAGGCTTACTATCAAAAGTCTTGATATTACTTTACTTCTCTCTCTCTCTTTTTTTTAATAGATTGATCCTGAAAAGAAATTTGCTGTGTTCGCAAGAATATCGTACGATGCTCCTAATGAAAGGATTAACATCGTTGAAGAAGTGGATATATATCAGAAAGAGAAAAAGTTCTACGAATACATTATCTTGTTTAAAGAAGTAAGTTACCAAAAACACTTTAATCCAGTAGAGGTTCTCCTACTTATGTTCACACTTTTCAGTGAGCAATATGCAATCCAGCATCACATTACTTATGTCAGCAACAGCCCGAGAGACCCCTCCCCCAACCTGCGGTTATTTTACGGTGGGAGGGTGTAGGGAAAAGAGTAACGCTCCAATCCCGCGGGGGAGATCGAAACATGGTCTTAGTTTCCTTTCTCTGTAGGTCAGTCCGCCATTTTATTGAAAAAAAAAAAAACGTAAGATGGTTATGTGTCCTCTCAATTTATATTGTGAGTAAGGGTGTCGCTGCTCTCACCAAAGAAATCAAATAAAAGCCTTTCAAGATGGCAGTTTTTTGGTGCTAACGGACACGTCATTTGTATTCTTAAAGGGAATCATGTACCAGATCGAGCTGAGTACCAAAAGGACTGGCAAGTGTGAAAAGAAGAAATTATCCGAACCTTTCCACAAGTTTAAAATACCGGACAATGCTACAGCTATTGGAGAGGCCACTATTGGCTCTAATGCGCTTCCAGGTGCAGGAGTAAACGTGGCGTTTTTCACGGGAGAAATTGACGGAGGTAAGATTTCGTACGAAGTCACATCCAGGGTTTCTAAAATGTCTTTAAAAAATATATCAAAGGAACGATTGTTTCAAAGAAAAAAATATTTATCGATTAAACCTTACGAATAGTCAAACTAAGGGACCAATCCTAATTTGTAGCCTGAGGGAGGGGGAAGTTGGAAAATTTTTGGTGGGATCATACGGTTTTCAGGAAGAACGAAGGCGGGATCAGTTGTTTCCAAGAGAGCTGAAAGGGGGGCTCATAGAAAATTAATTTCCAATGAGGGGATTCGTTAGAAATTCACAGAGCCCTATGGGAGGCTCAAGTCAATTCTATTGTGACACCACCAATTAGAACAGAAATAAGGGCGGTCTTACTCAGAAGATATCTTGAACAAAAGGGAGTGGGGGGTGTGTGATCGACACTTAATTCCTTACGTATGATGTGCGATCCTCGCAGTAGATAGCGCTATTTATGCAATAGCGAAAATCAGACCTGAAAAAAAATCAGGCCTGTACGGGACTCGAACCACTGACCTCTGCGATACTAGTGCAGCGCTCTACCAATTGAGCTAACAAGCCAATTGGGAGCAGGCCAGTAAGTTGATTCGTAATAAACCCGTGAAAGGGTTTCCTAGGCATTCAAGACACTTTCACGGGTTTATTACGAATCAACTTACCGGCCTGCTCCCAATTGGCTTGTTAGCTCAATTGGTAGAGCGCTGCACTAGTATCGCAGAGGTCAGTGGTTCGAGTCCCGTACAGGCCTGATTTTTTTCAGGTCTGATTTTCGCTATTGCATAAATAGCGCTATCTACTGCGAGGATCGCACATCATACGTATCTAATACCGCAGTTCAAAAAATATATGAACTTCATATATTCATTGCCTCTCACTTAATTCCCTACTAGGTAATACCATGTGCGCGATAAGAATCACTTGTGTAAGAAGTCTAAGTAGTAGGAAGCCCGCTATCAAAGAACCTTTTACAAAACCTTACGGGGGGGAGGGTAAGGGGGTAATATTGGGACGTCACTGAGTTGAGATGTTTTTGGAATTAACATATGATTATTTCGGTAATAATAATAATAATATTAATAATAATAATAACACTTATATAGCGCTTATTCGCATGCGTTCTAAGCGCTTTACATCCATTGTATTACAGTATGACTTAGAAATAAGGTTTGATAAACGAACTTCGTAGAGTAAAAAATCAATTTGAATACAAGTACCCTGATCAAAGGTTTTAGCTTGATTTCAGACAAGTTCAAAATTTTTTGCATAAACTTCCTAGGCATTCAAGACATGCCGACCCTCCAGTCAGTCGTGATTCATTGGTAAATGTGTTTTAACTTTCAGATCGTTTCTTTCTGACGGTTACCACAGAAGGATGTCTTCCAGTTCATCAAAATATTGAAACCAAGACAGCTGGTACCATGCACATCGGGTTGGTTTGTCTTGTTTGTTAATCCTCTGAGTTAGAAAGAAGTGAAGATTTTGTATATCACCCAAACCGGTGAACTGGCGACTTCTTCAGTCCCACAAAGCTTTGATCGAAAAAGAGTAAAAACCTACAATATTGGATTCACTCTGATTGCTTAGAGAAAAAAAAAATGTTAAATCTGCATTTTAGACAAGTCGCCTATTCAGCTGTAGCTTGTTCTGGTTTCTAGCGCATGAAAGGAGCAAGAGTAATGTGTTATTTCCTCCTCTGAATCAGTGCATCACAAGGTTACCCCACAAAATTTCGTTAGGCTTCTCTGACAGTTCGCAGGTATTCATTTATGTTCTTCGGTGAAGAGAGGCCTGGTACAAGTGCATAGCGGGTACATGTCACATACAGTCACCCGGGTCTCAAACCCAGACCCTTCGATCCAGGGTCCAGCGCGTGAGCTCCACGGCCATTTCTTCTCCTAAATAATTCAACATACAATGTAAAGATGAGTGCATCGCTTGTTATTGACCTCAAGTGACCAACTGAATGACTTCATAGACCAGTTGTGACGGTTAAAGAATAAAAAGAATTATTTCAGGAGCAGTTTTATCATCACCATGTAAAACACTTGGTCATGATTTACTGTGGTTGAGTGGGGGGGGGTGAGAGTGAACAATTTGCGATTGATTTTGTTCCGCTATTGACTGGATGTAAGGATGGCGCTTAAGGATTTATCATCATTGGAATATGGCGCTTTTAGAATGCGATTTTATTTAAACTGTTTAAACTATTTAAAATGTACTAGCTATCGTGAAAAACAGGTGTCATTTTACACTGTCACCTCGCCCCGCCCTCTATGATAACCATCTTCCTACTCTGTCTAGTTCCTTCCGTCCATTGGGTGGTCTTTGTTAAAAAAGTCGACTACGCTACTCCAATCGGAGTAGACATACTCAGCGTCTAAATTAAAAGGTTCCTCCTCCTTTTAGATGTTTTTAAACGACTATGATGAAGTGCCCATGGACGCTCTGACCTATTTGGTTGGGCAGTGTAATTATGGCGGTCGGGTGACTGATGACAAAGATCGTCGATTGTTGGTTTGCCTTCTGTCGATTTTTATGTGTGATGAGATCATAGAAAGTGATGATCACAGGTGAGTCTTGATGGATATGACTGTTAAAGATACACTTGACAATTCATACAAATACTTTATTATTTAAAGATTTGTAAAATAGGCCACAAGTGTTTGACATGAGACGTTTTACTCGTTAAAGGGCGGTTAGCGTTTATGTCGAATTGAACTTGAAAATTGTATCAAATTGTATGTTGAGGCTAGTGATTTTTGCCTGCAAAGCAGCTAAACTGAATCATATTTTGCATCAACCACGGTTTATCTAAATTATGTCTCGAAAAAACATTTCTCAGGTTAATCTTTCAGTCCGTGATTTGCGTACAGTTTGTTCCCTTTTAAGAGTCGTTTGGTTCGATTTTGTTAGATTTTCAGACAGCGGTACATATTACGCGCCCACCAAGGGAGACTACGAATCTTACGTGGATTACATCCGGGACTTACCTCTCATTCCTCATCCGGAAGTGTTTGGTCTCCATGAAAATGCCGACATCACCAAGGACCAGAAGGAAACTCAGGAGGTAACTTAGTGACATCTGTCAACGTGCGTCAACTAATGACCAGTTTCACTTAGGACATTCTGCAATCATATGTTAGTTTCGAAGCTTGCATGAATTATTTGAAGCCCTCGTGAAGCGTTAACGGAAGATCAGATTAACTAATCGACCGCAATTTTCTATTTTGATAACGTTATTGATCATAGAAATGACGTCAACAATGTTCAAAACTAAAGTGAAACCACAAGG